CCTGGGGCTGCTCAGACCACGTTTGCGTAGAATCTTCCCTAGAATACTGGCAGCCTGACTGGCCTCCTATAGTCCACCCCCTATTACAACGCCCCCCCCCCCTTCTCGAATACTGGTCTCCCACCCTGTGGCTGGCTCCCCATTGGCTTCAGGATAAAGACAAAGGTCCGCCCTGACCAGTTTGGCTCAGTGGCTAGAGCATCGACCTGTGGACTGAAGAGTCCCAGGTTCGATTCCGGTCAAGGGCATGTACCTTGGTTGCAGGCACATCCCCAGTAGGGGGTGTGCAGGAGGCAGCTGATCATGTTTCTCTCTCATCGATGTTTCTAACTCTCTATCTCTCTCCCTTCCTCTCTGTAAAAAATCAATAAAATATATTAAAAAAAAAAAAAAAGACAAAGGTCCTCAGCCTGGCGTTCGAGGCCTTTTGAAGTCCAGCCCTTCTGCATTCTTCCCATGAGCTCTCACACCCCCACCCTGGTCTCCTGCCAAGTGAACGAAATGATGCACCCCGACATGAAACATACCCTCTTCGCTGTAAGGCCTTTGCCCAGGCTGTTCTCTCAGCCTGACACGCCCTCCTTGCTTTCTCCTCATGATGAGCTCCAGCTCAACCTTCCAGGCCCCGGCTCTCGGGGAAGACGTCCCCCCGACCCAGCCTCATGGCTCACTACTCCCCGGTGTCCACATGATCAGCTGTTCCTTCCTCTGCTCTTACATCTCTGAGCCCGTACATATGCTTTGCCCTCCATCTAAAATGCCTCCCCTGGCACCCTTGCCAAACTGCGATCCATACAACAGAGCCCACCCTCAACCCCCCCCACCCCCCCTCTGAGAATGGAGGACGGAGCAGGCAGAGGAGCACTCACCAGATAGTTGAGAGCATAGGCCAGCTGTTTGATCACCTGAAGCTTCCAGCTGGCGGGCACCAAATGGCCACACTTGCGCAGGTATGTGTCCAGTGCTCCCAGGCGTACAAACTCCTGCACCATGATGCCTGGTGGCAGCACAGGGAAGGGCAGGGTTGGGAGGCAGGACTGCATCCTGTGTGACAGGCTCCGCCTCCACTCCGCCTCAGGAGTCACTACACTCTGTGCTCTGACTGTTCCCTCCCGGCTCCTCCATCCTTACCCTGCTCACCTCTCCACCTCCCCTCCCCCCTCTCAGAACTCTGCCTGAACAGCCTGGAAGGTTCTGAGCTCTCTCTGTGTCTCACATCCAGCCCTTTGCGTATTTGGTATCTTCTGCCTAGAACACCCCTCTTCTCTCTCTTCCCTAATTCCTACCGATCCTCACCGCCCCAGAACCATTGCCTGATCTCCAGGCCGTGTCGGCGGTCTCTGGCCACCCCGGGTGCCCTGCGCTGTCCCCATTGCACACGATCATATGTCACCTGGCCAGCCTGTCACGTTCTCGGCTGTGCACCCAACTCCTGGGGTGAGCTAAACGGGTGGGATGGAGGGTGGAGGGCAGTGTGGCCCTGACAGAGTTGCAGAAGGTAGTCAGTGAAGTGACATGGAACCAGGTCTGGCTTGAGAGTGTTCTGGGCTGGTATTGGTGGGAGCCTGGAGGGCAACTGAGGGGCATATGTACAGCGATGGGCCCTGGAGAGGCTCAGTGAGGCGGTGGGGGTGGGGGTGAGGAGGGGGGTGGGGCACAGGGTGTCTCTTACTGTCTCCGGCCATGCACACGCCATGAAGCAACACGAGATGCTGGTACGACACTTGGCTCATCAAACTCGCTGCTTCCAGGAATGACTGGGGCGGGCAGGAGGGAGAGAAGATGCACGGGTTCCTCTCACTCCAGGATCCGACCAGAGGCCCCAAACTCGCAGCTCACAAAGCTGCCTTGGGAGGAGGCCTGGCCCCAACTTTTTCTGGGCCTGGGTCCCACTGTGAGTGGACACCGCACGGTATATCATAATTTTCTGACGGCGGCTGGAAGTGGGCACTGTAGTCTACCTCGAGTCTCTCACAGGTAAGTGGGAGATTTGGGGGTTAAGCAAGGCCTAGCCCCTCTGATGCCTCCATCGGCACCACTCCCTGTCCTTTGCACACTCCTCTCTAGCCCACTGGCCTCCTCACTGACCCTTGCACTGGCTAGTGCATTCTTTCCATCTGCATCGGTGTCCCCAGCTCTTCTGTACTTCATCGTTTGGAGATGCTGTGGCTACATTTCTGTGTCTTAAAATGCCTCTGATTCCATGACCCTCTCTCCAGCCAGCCCTGACCCCAAAGGCCTGGTCCCCACCTGCTCACCTCCATGCAGTGCTTATGCTTAGCATCCAACACTTTGAGCAGCACCTCCGTCTCCCGAGGCTCCCCATCCACAGTCTCGTGGCGACAGCCCCGGTAAATCTTGGTGAAGGATCCATGACCCAGGTTCTCACACTGGAGGGTGAGGGAACAATAGGAGAGGCCAGTAAGGGCACTCCTGTGGGATTCTGACCTCCCCCCCCCCCCCCGCCCCCTTGGCCTGAGCAAGGCACAGACACTGGTTCCATTTTACAGATGATGAAGCAGAAGCACAGAGAGGTTACATCACATGCCTGAGGCCACACAGCAGAGGTGGATGCAGACCAGGTCTCTGGACTCCAGCTGAGGCCCCCATCCACCCCTGTTTCCTGAGGCTCCTTACCCACTCCAGGCTGTCAGCGGCGATCTTGTGAAATGTCATCTGACTCAGCTGGCATCCCGAGTGGGGCTGAACAGGGGATGATGTGGGTGGACTGCAACTTCTCCGGACCACAATCAGGTTGGACTTTTCTGCAAGGAGGGGGTGGAGAGAGAAAAAACAGAGGTCAGAGGTGAAAGGCCCTCAAAGGTTTGCTCACTTCCTGTCTTAGTTTGGAGTCGCCCCAGGAAGCCGGCCCTGAGATGAAGACTCCAGGGCACAGGGCTCACTTGAGAGGAGACTCCAGGTAGCCCCTGGGTGAGGGGTTGAGGAGTGAAACAGTGGGAAGGAACCTGTGGGGGGCGCCAATGAGCAACCAGCACTATGGTCAACCGGGTCTCAGTGTTGCCAGGGGCTCTGGGAGACTCAGCACTCAGACCACAGAGCTGCCCCATCCCAGGGGTTTGTCTGAGAGTGAAATTCACCCAGAGGGAAGGGCAAAAGATGAAGGGAGAGTGAGTGCTAGTGGCATCCCTCCATCAGATTCTGGATTCAGCCCGAAGGCAGTAATCTATCCCACAAGCCAATGAATCAACTTTTTTTTCCCTAAAGCACTTTGCATTTTCTGCCACTTGCCACCCAAGAGCTGTGACAAACAGAAGAGCAGGGCCCCAGATGACTCCTCAGCTCCAAGGAGAGGGCGGGCTCACCTTTGGGCCTAGGGGTGCAGCAGAAGGTGAGGTTCAGAGCAACCCCGTCTACATGCAGACCACCGTCCCAGCAGGCCGCCAGGAGCTCTCGGAGACTGCTATGGGGTCGGCCAAGGCCAGCCAGGGAGAAGGTTCCTGTGGGGTCGCACCGGATGAGGCAGCCCTTGTAATCGGGGCCCAGCGGGGTCTGCAAGGAGGAGTGGTCCCTGAGTGGGAGTAGGCCACGCTCCTCGCTCTCTCCCTCTTCCTTGAGCACTACAGCGCTCCAAGCCTTTGCACATGCTGTTTCCCTCCACTGGGAATGTCTCTCCCCTTTCCTTCTTCAGGAAGCAAATGCTCACACATCTTTCAGGTCTCCACTCAAATCTCACCTCCTCCAGGAAGCCCTCCCTGACCTCCTGGCTCCTAGCAGTGGACTAACCTGGACACACACAGTGAGGAGGAAGCTGTCGAAATCCTGGGGGCTGCGGCGGAGAACGTAGGAGCCAGGGAGGGATCCTCCAGTCTTGAGCTTGTTGATGGCAAAATCCAGGCTTGGGGAAAGGTGGAAGGGAACCAAGATCGCAAGACAAAGAGATGGAGGCAGAGAAACCAAGCCAGGCCTGGGTTCTAACTCTGGTCTCTCTGAGGCCCTAGGATCCTCACCAGGTAACATCCCCTCCCTCCCCCATATGGAAAATGGGCCAAATGATGGGTTTCTGCCTAGGAGATTAAGCAAGAGGAAATGGCCTGGGACCCCAGGCGTCAGAGGGAGGGACATGGTTGCCGGGGCAGCAAGAGACCCCAGCCTCTGAGTGCTGACTGTGCACCAGCCGCTGTCCAGCACTTGACCCCTTGCCCAGGGCTCCGGGAAGGCGAGGACATTGAGGCACCAAGAAGGGGAGTGACCAGGGTTTGGACCCGGGTGGAACAGGCTACCCAGGGCGGGTATGGAAGGCGGGTCCTTACGTGATGGGGCCTTGGCACTGCTGGGCCACCTCCTCCAGCAGCCGCGGCGGCGCCACCTCCTTGCAGAAGTAGTGCTGGGAGTCCGTGGTCAGTCGGAAGTAGCCGTCCACGAGCGCCACGAAGGACAAGGAGGCTGGCAGCCCCGGGAACTCAGCCTCCTGCGAGGGGCGGAAGGGCCGAGGGCCGCGTTAGCGCCTGTTGTGGTCCCCGCTCTCGGGTAAGTCGGAAGAGGGGCGTCCAGCACCCACCAGGATCTGGTTGTCTGTCCTGGTGATGGTGACCAGGCGATGCTCCCCAGCTGGGCCAACGCGCGGGGCCTGCTTGATGCTGATGTCCACGATTTCTGGGAAGTCGCAGAAAGGCTGGAAGACCTGGCAGGGAGGCGGGGGCCTGAGGGCGGGAGTCCGCTTTCTCGGAGCCCCCAAACGCTCTGGAAGCCTGAACCCCACCAGCCCACACAATGAACCCCGCAGCTTGCAGCCGGGCCCAGTCCATGCCTTTCCCACCTCGCCCCTGCCAAGCCCCCCTCTTCTACTAATCACACCCCTCTCGACCCCTCCCCTGCCCATCCCCAAATTTCCCCCACCCGATCCCTGCCAAAACCCTCCTCCATCTCAGTGGGAACCTTCCCTGAGCCCCTCCCTTGCTGAGCTCCACTTGATTTCCCCGCCTCTCTCAGTCCAGGCGGAAGCCCCACCCCCTCTCTTAGTCCCGCCTCCTCCCTGTACCATCGGTTCTCTCCGCCCAACCAGCTCCCTTCCTCTCAGCCCCGCCCATTCTCATTCCCGCCTCCTCACTCAGCCCCGCCTCCTCACTCAGCCCCGCCCCTCACTCTGCTAGCCACTACCTGAGCCCTCCCAGTCTCTCCCCAGCTTCGGCCCCGCCCCCAAGAGCCCTGCCCATTCCCCGCCCCTCCCACAGAGGCCCCGCCCCTCCCTCCTAGGCCCCGCCCCCGCCGTTGGCCCCGCCCAGATTCTGCGGGCACCTCCTGTGTTCCTGGACTCCAGGCGATGCCGCTACCACCGGCCACGCGGAGCAGTCCCTTCGCCTCTTGACCCCCAGCCGACCCGGGGAGGCCCACGAGGAAGGTCTCCGTGGCCCTCGCCAGGTCCAGCCTCTCCAGGTCCATGATGTACTTGGCCATGAGTGAGTGTCTGTCAGCCTGGCAGGTGGCCACGCGGAGCAGGGCCTGGCGCACCCTCCTCCGGATGCGCCTCCGCGTAACGAAGCTCAGGCCCTGGATCAGGTCGCGCAGGCCCGGGGGCAGGCAGGTCTTGTAGCTGTGAGTGGGGGGCGTGGACTGTCAGTGTGGGAACGAGTCCCGGCAGGGACTGACAGGGACGCACCCCACCCAGGCTGTAGTTGAGGGGTCGTAGTGTGGCCTGTCTGTAGGCATGGGGACACACTCAGGGGCGTGCATGGGAGCAGGGCCTCAGTGTGGTGAAGGCCATTGGGGCCCACAGGACAGACAGGGACACGGGCAGGCCTTCGGGGGCAGGAGGCAGGGCCCTGGAGCCTCAGTGGGGCATGGGACTGGGTTGAGGCCTGGGTCATCACATGGACACACTGCAGGCTTGTAGGTAGGGAGCCTTATGGGGTTCCTGAGCTCTGGGATGCCCTGGTGGAGCCATATGTGTGCGCACTCCCAGCTAGAAGCTGGGCACCACAGCCTGGAGGCCCTCACCTGACGGTCTTCAGCAGATCCTCCGGCTGCTGGGCCTGCTCACAGGCCATCCGGGCCAAGTCCAGCACAGCCAGGCTGAGACATTCGCCCTGCTCCTTGAGGCTGAGGCCCACCGGAAGGCGGCCACTCACCAGGTCATTGCGGTGCTGGGAGCCGGTCATAGCCCAACTGTGAGCCCTGAGGTTGCCCTGTGGCCCCCCACCCCTGGGCTGACCCCCATCCCTGGGTTGCCACAGGGAGGATCAGCCAAGGCCACCCCTGAGGTGGCTCTGCAGACCCCCAACCCTGGGCCAGGCCCCACACAGACCCCTACCTGAGCAAATAGGTATTCCAGGACTGGCAGGTCAAGGATGGCGCTGGCCAAGTCCTTCCGAAGCCCAAAGCGGTGACACGTCTCTAGCCCAAACCAGTTGGGGAAGTAAAAGCTGTGTAGGGGAGGGGAGAACCCGAGAGTGTGGGGTATTGCGGGTGCCGGTGGGGGTAGAGGACTGTGCCAAGACCTCACAGAGCCCAGGGTGTGCCAATGAATTGCTGTGTGACCTTGGGCAAGCCATCTACCCTCTCTGGCCTCAGTTTCCCCATACATGTGAAATGGACAGTGATCACACCCTCCCTGGAGCGCTCAT